AGCATAACTCATATAACACAAGCAGATACAAGCACAGTCGCATTACAGAGGGTTTAGACGCCCAACTCAGTGATTGCACGTAATTGTATTCCTATTTAAAAGCTCATTAGGTATGTATGTATATATGCATGTAAGTAGGTAAGACTGCATAAGTCGAATTTCCAATGCAACTAACGAACGCTGTCATTAACTTGCTACTAAACTTCATTTACACACACGAATTTCTTCGAGTGCTCTCTTCAGGCATGTCTTTTTGCTGCTCCACCAGAATTACAGCAGTGCATTTGCACTACCTTAGCTACTCGTCTATGTACGTTAGGGTGGTCCAAAAAGTAAAGTCGGAATTGTAATGCTCTCACCCCCTAGGATTATTCTATATCGAAAATAAATATACTGCTATTTTTTATTTTTTTAGTTTTCCATTTATTTTTATATGGGAAAAATAAATTTTGTATAGAATTCTTGAAAGTCAATATTTTTCGATCGGAAAATTCTGGTTCTCTTCGGAAGGCCTTCAATAATAATACCCAATTGTTTATTTAACCATTTTTTAATACTAACGATTTTTTATTGTTAGTCCCATTGCATTTTTCGGGGTTTTCGTGGGTTGTTGGTGAACCTATAAATTACACTGGTCTACAAATTTCAACTTTTTTTCTGCGAATAAGACGGGACCTGGTGTTTCTGAACGGATTTTTCGTGCTGAACACGAATCCGGGGTCAAAAATGTCCCATCACGTCACGTTTTCGAGAAAAAAGGGGTTGAAACCCCTAAAAACAGCGTTTTTGGCCATTTTCGAAAAATTATAGAGCTGAACCCTGACGTGGTACAAATTTTGCATATATCAGAAATTAAAGGCTAAACCGTGCCCTTTCGAATGAGCCCTATGCCGAATTGATCGCGTGCACCCTTAAAGCAGGGGGTGTATTTGTGTTTAGGGGTGCAGGAAAAATTGATCACAGAAAGAATTTAATCTTAAACGATCATAGAAAATTAATAATGCCAAGGTTTTAACTATATTAAAAGTCGCTGATTACGAATCTGCAGTTAGATTTTAAAAATTTAAGATGACGGGTCGAATATGGTGGATATAAAAATTGGACTCCTAGACACAAATACACCCCCTGATCTAAGGGTGCATGCGATTAATTCGGCATAGGGCTCATTCGAAAGGGCACGATTTAGCCTTTAATTTCTGACATATACAAAGTTTGTAGCACGTCAGGGTTCAGCTCTACAATTTTTCAAAAATGGCCAAAAACGCTGTTTTTAGGGGTTTCAACCCCTTTTTTCTCGAAAACGTGACGTGATGGGAAGTTTTGGACCCCAGATTCGTGTTCAGCACGAAAAATCCGTTCGGAAACACCAGGTCCCGTCTTATTCGCAAAACCCTTGTAGACCAGTGTTATAATTGCAATGAAAAAATGGTTAAATAACCGATTGGGTATTATTATTGGGAATACTGCAGATGAAAACTTTGAGGACTTTGAGCGACCTCTAAATATTTTTTGATTTCAAAATAAATAAAATTTTAGTTTTAAAAATTAAAACCTGGGTGGGAGCATACAAATTCCTACTTTACTTTTTCACATGCATTTTTGGACCACCCTAATGTACATACATAAGTGTTCGGCACATCTACAATTTCAAAGAAGCTTATCTTGAGTACTTGGATGATTTCTGCTCTTCCTTAACATGGTTGTATGTACAGTAGGGTTGACCCCATTGCTATTCTTTGCGGGCACCGGCTAAATTAGCTTCAATAAATATTCTGGGAAAAACCAATCCAATCACCCCATTACTTACTCTCATAAATGCTTGCGATTTTTTTTGTTTTTTTTTTTTTTGTTAAGCGCTCAATTTGCTCAGCAGAAGTAAAAAGGTGACTAACTTGAAAGGCATTATTTCACAAATTTGTGGCTGGAAGTTGAAATATGAATTTGCAATATTTTACGATTTGTGATACTCTCAGTAGTAAGAGGGCAAAAAAAGATGCAAACGGCCGTTTACAATTTCGTTGTTGCAAAGGTTGCTCCTTTAACTTTTCATTAAGCAAATTAAGAAATTCGAATCTTTCAATGTTTTTTTTAATACCATATACTTGTTTACAGATAACTAGCTTTTGCAAAAAAAATGTCAAATATCCCTCAGTGCGATGCTTTTACATGGAGTATGAGCGACGTTTCAAAGACTTTAATTTTTGTTTGCAATTTGCTTGTTTGTTGTTGTCGCTAGCAGCCATACAATCAAGCAACAATAAGTTTTGTCGTTCCTATTATTTTACCACGACTGTATTTAAACACAAGTATCTTACTGCGGCTGTTGCATACTTTTAGGCGCATTATTGAAACAAAACTAATTTGGTTATACACGCGCAACGCCCTATTTCAGAATCTGGTTGAAGAACTCAATATTTGTATTTTATCGATTATGACAATATAAAGTAAATGGGCGATATGTATATTTCTTTACAATAAAAAAAAAAACAAGTTAAAACAAAATAATTAAAAAGAAAAGAGTAACAAAATTAAATCAGCAAAAATAGATACAAAAAACTTCGAAAATTAAAAGAAATTACAAAAAAAAAATATTTTTAAAAGTCACATCTAAAAAATAAAAAAAATAGGTTAACAAAGCATTCCTTTTAAAACAATAATACCTGGAAATTTGAAGAAAATTAAATTAAAAAAAGAAAGTTAAATAAAAATAAAAAACAATAATAAAAGATTGGCGCTTACACGTATGTTAGTGTTTGGCCGAGCCTCTCCTCCGATTTGTGGTGTGCGCCTTGATGTTGTCACACAAAGCGGAGGGACCTACAGTTTTACGCCGCCTCCGAACGGCGATTGTATTTTTATGAGAAGCTGTTTTTCATGGCAGAAATACACTCCGAGGTTTGCAATTGCCTGCTGAGGGACGACCGCTGTTAAGAAAAACCTTTTTGCGATGTTGCTTTGACCAGGGCTTGAAGCCAGGCGTTGATGAGTGAAAGCGCGCACTGCTTACCACTACACCACAGCGGCCGACAAAAAAATAAAAAATAAGTTCCTAAAAATTACACAAATGAAATTCTAAAAATATTTTTTTATTTTTTTATAAAAAATCTAATTAAATTAAAAACAAAATAAATTTAAGAAAGATAAAGTATGTTCCTAAAAATTCAGTGAAATTTAAAAAAGTATTTTCTTTCGAAAACATAACATCTAAAAATAGAAAGAAATTTAAATTAAAAAAGAAGTGTCAACTAAAATAAAAGAAAAAAATGCGTTTCTAAAATTTGTATGAAAAAAAAAAATATTTTACTTTTTAAAACAATAAAATCTAAAAATTATGAATAGGAACAAAAATTAAAAAAATGCTTTCCTAAAAATTAAACGAAATTTCTTTCTNGGAAAATCAAATTAAAAACAAAATAAATTTAAGAAAGATAAAGTATGTTCCTAAAAATTCAGTGAAATTTAAAAAAGTATTTTCTTTCGAAAACATAACATCTAAAAATAGAAAGAAATTTAAATTAAAAAAGAAGTGTCAACTAAAATAAAAGAAAAAAATGCGTTTCTAAAATTTGTATGAAAAAAAAAAATATTTTACTTTTTAAAACAATAAAATCTAAAAATTATGAATAGGAACAAAAATTAAAAAAATGCTTTCCTAAAAATTAAACGAAATTTCTTTCTTTATAAAACAATAAAATCTAATTCATCTTCTACTTACTCGAGGGCGTCATATACATTATAGGCTTAACTATGTAAGCCATAATAAAGTAAGGAAGTTGGCTGCTACGAGCAATTTCTATGTACATCAATCATCCTTTTCCCATCAGAATTATAAAACTTATCACATGTTATGACTTCCGCCAAAATATTTCGGAAAAATATTAAGATTTACGGAGATGGGACTATTTAAAAATAACATCCAAAAATTTAGTTTTTAAAAAATTAATTTGCTTTCCTTTTAATATTTTTTTCCAAAAATATAAGAAATAGAAAAGTTGAAGCTCAAAGACCCTGCATAAAAAAAAATAAACAATTTTAACAATGGAATCAAAATAATCTGGAGTTATTTTAAAACCTGTCTAGCCTATCAGAAGTTTTAAAATATATATAGTAAATAGAATAATTCCATTAGAAAAATCCTCACAGCAACGGGTTGTGGTCCGGGCTTGATACGCGTCATGGAAAATTCGGCACCAAAGAAACGGACTGTAAAACATTTACCTTGTTGGAAGCTGCTCTAACTCCTTAGGCAACTAAGACAAACAAGTACGAATAATCAGCAGCAGATCTGAGCTCCATAAATCAATATGAGCATGGGTCATTCCATGTTGAATTGACCAATGGTTGGAATGGATAATTTCTGATTTGGATGAATTTTGGTCAGAACTTTTGTTTTATCATGTAACGAAGTTCTGCCAAAGGGAAAAAATAAAAATTGGTCCATGCCAACCATTGGTCGATTTGACATGGATTGACCCATATAAGTAATATAAGCTGCCATTTCCGTAGAGAATTTCTGTTAAAATCCTTTATATTTGCCAACTTCCCAACTAATGATAACTGTATGTCCCAAAAGCATCCATTTCCATATGAGTTTTTGAATAAAATATTCAATTCGATTTAGTGTTTTTCAAAATAATTTAATGTTATTTCAAAAAAATAAAAATTTAAATACAATAGAAGACTTAGAGGCGCATCATTTAATGTAATTTTAGTTGCTTTACACAAAAATATATATTTTTTTTTTATTTTAATTAAATAAAGTCTAGAAAATAAAAGTAATGTGTCACAAACAAACAAACAAAAAAAAAATATAGAGAGTGAAGAAAGAGTGTTTTGATGGATTGATAGAACGAGAGCGCAGCAGAGATGAAGAGAGAGCGAGAGAGTTAGGCTAAAGAGCAATCGCGAGCTTAAACTGGGTTGAGCTCTGGATGGATAACTGGCATTACGAAATAGCAGATTTTTAGAGCTTGAATGAAAATTTCTCTCGAAATTTTTTTAAGAACTTAGAAGTAATTCTCTCTTTTTTCGGCGTATTTAGGTTTTATTTTTTTGTTGTTTTAAGGCACTTAAAATTTCGTTTGCATTGTATTTGTTGCATCTTCAATTCATGTTTTGTGTCGAAGTATGTGGTTATTGTTGCTTTAATTGCTGGTTGCTCTTCTCTCTACACTCTCCACCTGCTACCGCATTAGCTGCCACTGCAACTACATACTATTGTGTTGTTGTTGTTATTTTTTTACTTTTGCTTTTGCTTTTGCTTCTTTCTCTCATCATAACATATCCCTGAGCAATTCCTTTTGCGCGGCAGTCAACTTTTCCGGGAATTGTATATCGAATGCCACCAATAGATCGCCTTTTCGCGTTGTATCCTTGGGGAAGGGCAAACCATAGCCTTGTATACGCTTCACCGTATTCGGTTTGATAATCTCTTGCATGGTGCTGATACGCAACTTATCGCCGGACATTGTAGGAACTTGGAAGACTACGCCGCAGAGTGCCTGTAAGGAGATAAGAAAAAAGAGAAAAATTGAAAAATTAGAAAATGAAAATTAAATGTGCGCTGAAATAGACAAACAATTTATGTTTAACGTATGAAGTATACGAATAAAGTAAAGAAGAAAAAAATAGCAAAAACAAAGGCGAAAAACTTCAAAAATATATACTGTCGCCTTTGTTGGGCATTTGAGACCAATATATGCAGTCGCCATGGAAGAGATTTTAAATATCGTTCAATCAAATCACCAACTAATTCACCCAAACAAATAAACAATTCAATTTCCTTTCAATTTTTCTGCCCACATCAGTCATTCGAACACCATTAGCCAAACCTTATCCCTGTTTCTGCGTTCGCTGTCTGGCTGCGTCACAGCGCCAGTTCAACAAATTATCAATCTTCTTTACTTTTCTACTAAATACGCATACAAAACTGTTTATACTGATGGTTACAATTGGAATCGTCTAAAGGATGACATGCCACAATATGTTTACAGCTAAGTAAAAGCTCCTTGCATGCGTACTTGTGTGGGTGTGTGAGTGTGAGTATACTTTTCATTCATATCATAATGCGACATCTAAATCCTATTTTTATATGTACTTAATCGTGCTTAAACATGTTGTTGACAACTTGTTTGCCTTACACATACAAAAACCACTACGATTTTTTCTAGCTTAAAGCACTCCATCTCCCAACTACACACTTGGACGGACGGACTACTTTGAACTCGTCTCACTTTCACTTTTGCTGTTAAAGCATTTGTTGATTCTAGTTTTATTGATAGTTTTTCGCATGTTTTTTTTCCTGCATATATACATACATACATACATACATGTAAACCTGGAAAATAATGTTCAAAGCCCCAGCTGGAACTTTGAGCTGAAGGTTGGTGTATTTGGAGGAGGTGTTTTAATTCTACATAATGAAGTGGCCTCGGCAACTCTCAACGCTTAGATCGCCTCAGAAATTAGTGCTCAGGCTCTCCAACAATGCCAAATGCACAGAATTCCGGGATGAGCACTCAGCTTGCAAAGTACATTAGGGCGCTTGGAAAAGCAAAGATTAACAGCTTCGGAACCTCCTGCTAGGGTATTTCGCCCACCTACGCCTACAGCTGACATATTTCACCAAACCTTAGCTAAATGAACTGTACGAACTAGACCAGCGATTAGGACACCGAAAGGTATCTGCCCGTTAATCGTACAGTTTACGAAGAGGAGAGGGCAGTCACCCTGCTATCTGCCCGCTTTTTGGAACAGTTGACTGAGTTCCGAGAGTACAGAGCTTCTCCAAGAGATTATAAGCTGATAAAAAGTCTATTAACCTGGCGATGAGCCGATTGGGCGTTAGACTCGTTCGATAGCTACAAAAACTCATGAGTAATTGGCAACAGCCCATCAGTGCGGTTCAACGGCCGGGTGAGGGCTCTTACTACTGAAAACCAATGGAGTGACCAATAAAAAATCTTTAGTATTAATAATTGGTTAACTAAACAATTGGATATAATAATATTGGAAGTCTCCTGAAAAGTAGTTTTCGTATTAATTTTCAAGAATTTTATACAAATTTATATGAAAAGTTGTTTGTCCCCCATATAAAATACATGGCACACTTTGAGCGCCTTGAGCACTCCCTAAATATTTTTCGATTTCAAAATAAAAAAATTGGGGATGCTTTTTTCGGTATAGAAGGATCCTAGGGGGTGGCGGCATTAAAATTCGGTTGGTTTTTTGTTATTTTTTTTCTCGTAGACGTAAACGAGCACGAACATGAACACGAAGACGATTTCGAATACTTTCACGAATACGAATACATAGACGAAGAGGAACACGAAAATGAAAGCGAATATGAAGACCGACTATAGACGAACACGAATACGAAGAGCGAAGAAAAGTACGGAGATGAATTCGAGAAGAAGACGAATACGAGATAAACAGGAGAACGTGAACACGAAGCGGAATGCGAATGCGAAGAGTTACACGAATAGTAATACAAAGGCTAATACGGATACAAAGTTGAATACGAAAAAGAATATAAAGACTAAGACTAAAGATTATGTTAATATAAAGCTTAAAATATATTTCTGCAATATGAGGTGAACTGGAAATTAATCGAAGGATGCTTCACTTGAGTAGTGTAGCCCAGGCGCACCATTTTTTTTTTTGTGTCACTGCTTTTGGTTTTTTAGGAAAATTTTTAATATTTTCACATTTTGTTTTGCGTAGTCCTTGTTTTGTTTTTGCACCTTCCTTTCCAGAGCAGGAACTTTCGAAATTCTAATTCAAGAAGTCAGACAAAGCTGGTCATTGAAAAAAATTTGTATCATTACCAGGGCCGAAGAAAATAAGCAAGAAAAAATTAATTTTAAACGCTTGCGAATATTCTTGCAAAACAACAAAATTTCAGTACAGTTTAATGTTTTTTTTTAATTAAACTTCTGTGAAGGTCTCACTTAAATATAAAACCCATCAAATAAATATTTATCCGAGATATCAACATTTAGCATACAAGCAGCTGCATGTGAATTTTCTGCTGGGTGCATATATTTATGCTAGTTGTATGCAAGTAAATACATATATGTATGTTTATTCATTACTCAATGTTTTGTTAGCAAAAATGTCACAAATCCTTTCAACAAATCCTTTTCTCTCTATATCCTCTTATTTAGTATTGACGACTATTTATACACTGTTGACACGCACAAAATCACAAATCAACACAAAATACACACAGGCACACTTGCATCCGCTCAAAGTCTTTCATATGTAAGTTTTTATGTATATTAACAGGCCTTAAATTTTGTACATTTCAACAAACTCTATTGCGTTTGTTTTATTTCAGTTTCGTTTCCCTGTTTTGTTTAATGTGTACGAGTATTTACAGTTAAGTTTTCGGTGAGTGGAAATCATCCATCATAGATTATTTTCACTCAGCATTGGCAAATATTGTCTTCGATTAAATTAGGGAAAGTGGTTGGCGAGAGTGAGGCCGACAAACAAAGGAACTCCTAGGACTAGACATTTTTTGTTAGCTGTGTTTCGAATCCTAAAAAAATTTTTCTGTCATGAAAGTAATTTAATGATAGAGAAGAGTGGAATTGGTGTCGTAATGTGGATGGTGGTGTACAAGCAAACAAACATGCATATTTCTCAAATGCCTACCGAATTCAGAGTAGCACTTTCCGAGCTAAAAAAAAAGCCATCCATCTTTAGCGAAAGCAAACCTAAACAAACGGCGGAGAGAAGACACACCCCAGCGGTCGGCAGCCAGGTTGCGTAACAGGCTGTGGTTAAGCGGAAGGAAAAAGTCGCAGTACCAGGGGCCCCATAATATTTCATCGAACTCGCAGGACGGGTCGCATTTCCAGGGAGAAATGGAATCGGTTGGTTCTAACAATCGCTGGTGTTTCGCTTGACTTACATAATAATAAACAGAAGAAAAATACCAAAAGTGGTAAAGATATGGCGTACCTTTTAGTTTGCCCGCCACCGTATGACAGCCTTGACGCTCAAAGAAAATTCCTAAAGGCCTGTATGCAGCTCTAAAGAAAAGCAAAAACTCCATATAAAATGACGTACAAGAAATGGCTAAGAAATTTTCTTGAGTCAAATTTCCTTAAGGCAGTACGCAGTTCTTAAGAAATTTATTACGCTTTCTACTACGGTTTTCTAAAGTTTTTTGTGAAAAAAGAGCACAAGGCAACCCAGGTTTGCAACAGAAATATATGCCCGTTCCATTATTTCTTGAGGAAAGAGTGAGGCAACAGGCTGTGAGGTATCAAAAATGTCAAAGTTCCCTGGACACACACGCGAAATAATGGAAATTTTTTCTTGACCGTTTTCTTGAGAGCTGCATACAGGGCTTAAGAGTTGACGCCCATACGATCGGTGAATATTATTAATTAAAAGCACTCATAGCAACAACAGTGCTTACATACTTATTTTATACATACATACATACATAAATAAATATAATATATATATGTAAATTTATTTACACATTTTGCAATGGTAAGTACAGCAAGCTTCAAAAAAAAAACCCATAAAAAGCAAATGTATGCTACAATTTCGAAGAAATAATAATAATAATGGGGAGATACTTATAAGGCAGGCGAAAATGCGAAAACAAGAGCATAAAAATTCCGCAAGTGCCATTAAGAATGCAGTGAAATTTTAGTCTCTGCGCCATTGACTGACAAGCGATGGAACACAAGGAAAATTATGTTGCCTGCTGCTGATGTTACGATTGCCAATAATGGCATCATCATCAACTGCAAGCCAGTGCGTCATTAACTTGCAAATATCAGCACTTCACTATGTATTGAGTGCGTACTTAGTACGTGCCTATTTCAGTACATACTTGACATTTGCTGACTTATTTTGACGCATTCAAACCAGCAGCAGCATCACAGCAATTTTTTTGTCAATTTTTTTTTCGTTTTTCTTTTGTTTTTGCTGAATGCGCTTGCTTACTAACTATAAACTAAAATACAAGAATTTACTATTTCCATCGAATTAGGAATCGTAGTGTTTCATTAACATAGATAATTCGAACATTAAATCCAGCAATCGCATATAAATGCGTGTCATTTGTTTGTCAAAATTATCTATTTACATGCCAATCTGCAGTATACAGCTTTACGTGAGTACTACCAGTGCAACACTGTATGCCCGCTTGATTGGTACTCACGTTGGATCTTCAGTTTGCTTGCCCCTTCGCCGGCAATGCATCTCGCAAACGCTCCCATTTCGACCTTTTTATTGTAGCTCAATAAAAATATATGCGAATTTCTGATTGATTTCAGCGAAATGGCTAAAGCTTTTGGGAATTGCCAGTGCGTGGCATTTGCAAATGTACGCATTACTATTACTCCATGTATTTACTATAACCCGCCAACGTTCCGTATATGCGGCGATGGCATTCATGATGACGGTGTCATCGTGTCATTTCTTGTCATTTTTGGTAGTAAATGAAATTCCATTTACCTGCGTAGCAATGGGTTTC